TAAAAGTATGTAATTTTATATGCACAATTATAAATATACGTATTAGCCAATTAAAAGTTAACGTTGTTCCACGTTCAATTTTGGGTTAAACTAACTATTAACTTTTATTTAAAATGACCTCAGAAGATTTGATGCACTTTTTTGCTGATTAAAATAGATATTTTAAATTGAGTAAGACAGTTTTGTCTAAATAATAGTCATAAGAAATACATAGTCTGGTAGCACTGGGTCGCGTCAATTGTTTTGCCGTTTTAACTTAAATTTTGAATTTCGGCCCAATCACCCTGCACAGTTTTTATAATGAACACTGAACCTTCATGTAGAAACACAGCTTGATGATTTGTATATGGAATTTTTGACAATAACATGGAAATTGAACAAGATCTAGATAATCTATTATCTGAAGTTTGTTTTAAATCTAATTTTTCGTGCGACTTGCGTTATAAAGTTTATAAAATGAAGTATGGCCTGAAAAGACAACAAAACTTCGAAACACGAACAAATCAACTCAATTAGCAAAGATAAAGACTCCAAACAATTTATTTTTAATCTTGATCTTGAGAAAATTGTTGAAGAATGTGCTTGTAAATTATCAAATGATTTATGCTTGCCTGAAGAAATTCGAATCCAATTTTCAAGGCAGAATTTTTCTTTTAGTTCTGAAAATTCAATTTCTCCTTTCGAAAAATTTAAATGTTTTATTTCGAAATAGAATGGTGATGCAGGAAAATTTTATGGACTTCTTTATAAAAATTTATTGCCATCAAAGTTTGACAATATTTTACTGACCAATACTTTGCTTATTGAAGTTGGAAATCATATACTAAGCAGCCGTGGCGCAGTGGTAGCACACTTGCCTCAGAAACGTAGAATCCGTGGTTCAAACTCCACCTCTGGGCAGGTAATCAGTTGGGAAGGAGGCGTGAACTTCCTATTAAATGCTCTTCCGCGGTGCTCTGTGATAAGACCGTAAGGACTTCTTGGGGCACCTAAAATCAACATAAAAAATAATACTTCGAGATATTTCAAAAAGTAAACATAATAATTCATCTAATAGCGAAGTTTCGTCATCTTACGTTTTTTCTGATAAAGGTTTAAGTATAATTCAATATTTGTCAGGCTATGTTGTTCAAAAACTTTACTCAAAGTTCAAATTTTATAAATCTGATGAGCAGTATAAAAAATAATGCATAGAAATATTACCAGAATGCAAAATTGATTCAGATGATACCCAAAAACATGTTAATACTAAGAACAGGAAGGTTTATTTAAAACTAACATCTATACTCAAAATATCTTTATCCAATGTGAAATAATTTTTTGTAAACAAAGCAAATCTTTTGTAACATCTATTAAAGCGTGTACACGAAATAAATGTGAAAGTAGAAAAATAACTAAATAAAAGTACTCTTCAATTTTTATTTCTAACCAAGTAATAACTTTAATACAATAATATAAAAAGATCAAATATTAAAAAAAAAAATCAAACTATTCCTGTGGGAATCTAATAAAATTTTGAACTTTTGCTTTGTTGGTACCCATAAGTTTGTGCACAGATTAAGAACTGAAGCCATTTGATACTTTTTTAAATGATATATTAATACCTTTAATATTTCTGCAATGTTTTTTTGTTTTTTTCATTTTTCTTTTAATGATGGCCCAGTACTTTTCAATAACTCTTAATTCTGGGCAGTTTGGAGGATTTTCTGTTTTAGGCACGAATTTCACATTATTATTTTTATACCATTCCAAAGCTAGTTTAGAATAATGAATTGAAGCGAAATCTGGCCAGAACACAGGTCTCTTATCGTGTGATTTAATGAGAGGTAAAAAGCGTTTTTGTAAACACTCTTTAACATATATTTGACCCGAAAGTGTGGACTGAGAAATATAAGGTGCTGATTTTTGCCACAACTGCAAATAGCTTGCCAAATCAAGACTTTTTTAGCAAACTTGTCATGTTTTATGTATTTAAATTTCTTATCTGCTTTTCCTCTACATTTGGCAATATAATAGACGGCACCAGGAATTTGCTGATGATCGTACTTGATATAAGTTTCATCGTCTTCAATAATACAGAAGTTTTTAGAAATAAAATTGTCATACAACTTTCTGCAGCGGGTTTTTGCACTTTTTTGTTGAGTTTCAGATTGGTTGGAAACTTTTTGTGCTTTGAAAGAATGAAAATCATGTTTGTTTTGAACTTTTACAACAAAACTATGAGAAAGTCCATAAATGTTTGCGCGCTCCCTTAGTGAAAGGCTTGGGTTAGTCTTAAAACTGTTAAACAGTTTTCTAACTAGTTTTTTATCTTTAAAACCCTTCTTTTTTTCACCACCAGATTTACGTTTGATCGATTTTATTTGAGAAAACGTTTGATTACACGACTAACGGTGTATGGATGTATTTGCAACGCTTTTGCTATCGAATTGTACTATTGGGATTTTCCAAACATTTGTGAATAATTTTTTCTCTTATGTCTTCTTCTTTTGTCATTTTTAAAACTAATTTTAAGTTAAATCAAAAAACTAATAAATTTTTTTGAATCCACAACACGTTGTAAACAAAATACAAAACAATTAAAAAGATTTTAACATAACCACTGAAAAAAAAAGGCGTACTAATTCTTTCACATTTATTTCGTGTACACGCTTTAACAGCAAAGTTCTGGTCAATGAAATGCTTAAGGACTCAGTGATTAAAACTTAAACAATATATGTTACAGTACTGAAGTGCAAATTGATAAAGAAATAGCTTTCACTCTTCTTGAAAGTATGCTTGTTTTGTTCACAAGGGTAAGAAGCTTTCCTATGCTAGAGATATTCGTAAGAAACATCAAATCAACAAGCGACAAGCACGCAAATCTTCTATAGGAGCAGAGATAAAAAAATCGACGTGCAGCAATTGATCCATAAATTTGGTCTTGGTTTCATCCCTGGTCTGCTTTAGAAGATACGAAACGGTTATTTTTATAGCCACAAATTTAATTAAAATGTTATGGCTAAAACAACTTAGTTATTTTTTAATAAAAATATTGATATTTATATGTTGTTGAATAAAAACAGAGTATTAGTTTGAACAATTCTGATGTCTTTATTGCCCAATTTAAATACTTCTTTCTGATAATATTTTTCTAGTAATTTTTTTATCCTCTGATTATGCCCCACAAACGTGTTGCCTGTCGGAAACTGACCTAGATCCTCCACCATTGTATACACAGACACAATGTGTAAAAAATGTCACACCCTAGTAATTTTTTAAGAAATAGGAGTTTTTGTATGCTTTAATTTAAATTTTTTACCTTACCTAAACTTAAATTTTTAATATATCATAATTATGATATATGAAGAATATTCTTAATATAATATTAGGATCATCCCCTAATTCTTTTTTAACTTTTCTTTGGTATAGGTTAGTATAATTGCTGGGGGAAAAACAAACAAACAAATTTGATTGTTATTAAAAAATTTTTTTAGGAAAAAAAGTT